CATAGCAAGCACTCAAATGTTTGTGTGGTGAATGGGGGTGAAGGATAGTTGCAAGCACCCTGAATAATCACAAAAGACTGAGTAGACATCTGAATGAATCGTGTCTTTCAGTGGGGGAACAATGTGTGGGAAATACTGAAGAAACAAAGGAACCCTGATGTCACAGTGCAGAACTGTAACCCCACACTTAGGAGGTAGAGTCGGTAGAATCATAAGCTCAAGGCTAGCTTGAGCAATTCAGCACAAGGGTTTTTGTTTTTCGAAGTTTCGGAATGCGTCCTGTGCCTCGCAGCAATTGGCACGAGGCTGGCTAGCTGGCCTAGTCTAAGTCACTAGGACTGGATTTGGACTCTAGCTTCTCCTGCCTAACCCTTCCCAGCATTAGGATCATAAGCCTAGAAAACAACTAGTTTAATCTTTTTCTTTTACATTTTCTGTAGCAACTGGATATTACTCTTATAATTAGCAACCCAAAAGACTGTGGTAACTAGATTGTTTGCTTATGAATAGATCACTTTGTGCTTAGGTTGAGAATCGGAATTCTGGAAACCACACCTAATTTATGATTACATACATGGTGTGGCTGGCTGTGAGCTTGGTGGATGCTTCCCTTCATAGGCAGGGGTCAGGGAGATCAGGCAGTCAGCAGGAGGGTCTGAAAGCCTTAGCCATTAGTTTTGTTTTTTCCTTCTGGAACATTCTCACAGGCCTCCTCTGACTTCCCTGAGCTTGGTTTCTATAGGCGAGAACAGATTGAGTCATCCCAGGCTGCCATGCAGGACCAGGAAAGATATGAAGATTCCCATCTAGGGGGCTACCGGCGGATCTACCCTGGGCCTGACTCAGAGAAATATGCACCTTTCTTCAAGCACAATGGCTCCCTCTTCCAGGAGACTGCTGCCTCCAAGGCTAGAGAGGAGTGTGCCAGGTACCTTGGCTGCATTTCCCTTTGTACAGGGGGTTAGGGACAAATCCTGAAGTTGAATTGCTCCCTAGCAGGGAAAGAGGAAGCCACACACTTGAGAAAGGAAAACAGAGCAAAAATCCTAACTAGATCCTTTCTATGTCAAGGCACATACATGCATGCCTTACCTGAATGTGTCATGTATATGTAGTGCATTTGTGCACATACATGCATGTGGAGGCCAGAGGACAACCTTGAGTGTTGTTCCCTAGCTGTTCACCTTGTCTGCATGTTTTTGCATATGTAAATATTACATTTACTTATTTGTGTGTGTGTATGTATAGTATGGTGCACGTGTGGAAGTCAAAAGAGCCTCCAGGAGTCACTTGTCCCCTTCCACCATGGGGTTCCAACAAATGAACTCAGGTGGTCAGGTTTGGTGCTAAGCACCTTTACCAACCAGCTGAACCATCTTGCCAGTCCCATTTTGTTTTTATTCTTTTTAGTATTATTATTTTTTAAGTTTTGTGTTTTTGAAACTGTGTCTCAATTTATAGCTTTGGCTGGCCTGGAACCTGCTATATAGACGAGGCTGGCCTGAAATGTATGGAGAATCTGCCTGCCTGTGCTTCCCAAATGCTGGGACTAAAAGTGTGTACCACCATGTCCGGCCCACTTTACTTTTTGAGTCTCTCTGTGGCCTGAAACTCACCAAGGAAGCTAGACTAGCTGGCCAGCAAAAGTCCCAGGGACCTGCCTTTTTTGCCTTCCCAGTGCTGAGATACAAATGTGTGCTACCACCCCTGGCTTTGTTTTTTTACACAGGTTTTGAGGCTTGAACTCAGTTTCTCATGGTTTCAGGTTAAGGACTTTACTGCCTGTGCTATCATCCCAGTCCACTAACAGATTCTTAATGAGTCTTTCCTTTAGTGTGTTTCCTACACTCATTCATTCCTTCTCATCAGTTCCAACAACACATTGTGATTTCCTTGTATTAGCCATCCTGTTTTCCCTCACCCACCCCTTCTCCCCACAGTCCCTCCAGTGTCTGAAACTGCTGTGTCTTGTCAGGCAGCAACTGGAAGAGATTCGCCTAAAGCAGGAACAGCAGGAGAACCCAGGCACCAAGAAGCGAAAGGAAAACAAGGACCAGAACCAGGGTGAATCAGCTGGGGAGAAAAGTCGATCCAGAGCAGGAACAAGGGGCCTTGTCACCAGCTTGGCTTATAGGATCCGGAACCGGGACAAAGAGGTGTCAGGGGCTGTGGCTCTTATCTTTTCACATGAAACTAAATTGGGGCTACTAGAGAAGGGAATCCCTGCTGTCCTGTCCTCTCTTTGCTTGTCAGAGATAAGCCTCTAACTAGTAAACTGAATCTGACCTTCTGGAACAGAAGGTGAAAGAATGGACAGCTGAGGGAACCTTACAGTGCAGTCTGGGGAGGGAAGGAGGTAGAGTGGGGGCATGTGTGCCAAAGCCATCCTTGCTAATGATGTGAGCTTCATCTTGGACATCCTATTATCTCTTCTGTGCCTTGTAGCTGCTACCAGTACACCAGGACACCATGCAGCCTCAGGACATTGTGGAAGAGGAAGAGCTTGAGCGGATGAAGCTCCTGTTACAAAGGGAGAATCTCATCCGAAGCCTGGGTATTGTAGAGCAGCTCACTCGTATGCTGTACCCCAGCCATCGGGGCCACAGAAAGCTTCATGAGTATCGGGTGAGGGTCCCTGCGAAGCCTCTCACAAAGCCAGGGAACAAGGGCTGTGATACCAACACATGGTGGTGGTTACATCAAAGGAGGCTTATGTGATGGTTATCTGCCATTGGAGCCTGGGAGAGGGTCTGTTGGTTCCATAATGTCTGTTCCCAGGCTCTCTTGGGTTTGGTATTGCAACCCAGCAAAGTGCAGCTCCCAGCTTTCTCAATTGCAAGAGACGTTGCTCTCTATCTATTCTTGTTTCACAGTAACCCACAACTCATGACTGACAAATAAGGCCACCACCATTCTCAGTAGCTTTTGTATAATCGCCCTAGCATTGCCAATGCCCTGGCTCTAGTGGGAGCTAAGTAAACAGTCTTGGGCCAACAAAACAGCTGCCGTTTTCACTATTCCCTGGGCTAGTAACGAACCTGTTGGGCCTTATGTTTTTGTTGAACCCCAAAAGAAAAACTAGTTAAACAGTGTCTATTGCCTAGAAGAGATTGTTCTATTTTTTAGTTATGTATTTCTTCCAACACTCTATCCAGCCTCACAAGAAATATGGTAAGGGGCTGCTCTTCTCCTCTAGCCTAGATTTCACCAGGACGGGCTGGGCAGTCAAGAACTGCAACCTGTGAATTTGGTCCCATTGGTGTTCCTGAGAGGGGCTGCCTCAGAACAGGTCCCTCCTCATTTCCTGCAACCACTTCGGCCCCACGAATTGATCCCCAGGATCTTAGGGCCACTGTCAAGCATGAATCCCGCAATTGCACAGCATTCCCGGTACCATCTGCAGCCCAAGACCTTCAACTGGATAGGAGATCCAGCTGCCATTGGCCCCTGTTCATTGTCAATGAAGAAATCTGGGAGGCACTATTTTTCCAGCTCTAGAGTCAGGCTCACTAGCCGTAAGTATACAAAACTAGCTTTGGTCACTTTGACTGGTGCAAATTCCCAGTAGCAAATATTAGAGCTGGGATATTCCCTGGTAGTGTAGTAATGGGGGAAGGTAGTGGACCCATTTATTTACTTCCTTCTATCTAGTGACCCTGGTGATAGACATGGCAGAAACAGGCCCAGCCCTCAACAAAGGTTAACAGGGAAGTGGACATGCAAACAGACTAATTAAAATACAGTATGGTAAAGATGCTGGAGGGAAGCATAGGATGCCACTCTTCTGTGTAATTGGACCACAGTTGGGAAAGAGGTGAGAACACCTCTTTTGTGAGTACCACAACTTAGTGGGGATCCGTGTTTCTACTGCAGAAGGCCAAGCCAGCAGAAGGCTAGAAGCCATAAACCGAGCCCTGTCAGGATCAGTGCCACCCACTTTAACCCCAAAGCAGGGCTATCTTCTGCAGCCCGAAAGACAGGAAAGTGACTCATGGACCGAATGCTGCACCTTGCCCTCCATGGTAAACTCTGATCACAGAGGAGCCAAGGCTGGGGACCTCACCCTATGCCCTGCCTCTGCACCAGTGCTGCAGCATTCCAGCCCACTCCTCAACATCATCCAACACAGGTAAAAGAAGGGAAACCCAGCGCTCAACCAAAAGAGCAAATGGCCTTCAATCATTGCTAATTGAAAGACTGCCAACAAGTTCCAGTTTGAAAAGCTCTGGCCAGGACCTTTGTTTGCAAAAGGCAAAACACAAAGACACCAAGAATTCGTCAGCATTCTAAGATTCTTTGGGGGATCGGTAAAGACTAAAAGATGAAGAGCTAAGGCCAGCATGTATGCATCTCTGCTCATCAAGCCTTAGGCTGGGTTTATCGCTAAGCGATGGGTCTGAACCCTGGGTGTGGCCTGGGGCTGGAGGTCACTGGGCAAAAGAGTTCCTTTCCCAGTGGAATCAAATGCCCAAGGTACGGTGTAGTCGCCATCAGAAGATTGCTGAGGGTTCGCCCTTCCTGCCACAGTGGCAGAATCAGGCAGGCCTGGGCAGCCTGTGCCAGAGGGGCGGCTCTGGGCAACGAACCCGTCTTTTTATTAAAGTTTATGTCGTTTTCCAGGCGCGTCCTGTACCTTCTTTCGATCCTCGCGTCTGAGGCAAGCTCGTCTTACAGTCACAGTAGAGAAGCCCAGTGTGGTGGCTCAGGCCCGTAATCCCGGTTACTTGGGAAGCCCAGGCAAGAAGTCATGAGAAGTCATGATGCAAGGCTAGGACGATTCAAAAAAAAAGTTAGGCTTTTTTTTTTTTTTTCTTTTCTTTTTTTCTCTTGTAATGCCTAGGGAGATAACTCAGTGCCAGAAGCTTACCTAGCATGTACAAGAACCTGGCTTGGATCTCATGATCCCGTCCAATTTCCGGCTCTCCATCCTGCTTCCGGTCCTGCCCTCCCACTTCCGGTGCTTTCCGGTCTCGCGCTGCCGAGGGCGGTCTTGGGTCGCTATGGCGCTTCCCCTGAGTCTCCTGCTTGGCGGTCGTGTCCGCGCCGCAGTTGCTCGCTGTGGGTTCGCGACCCAGGGTGTGGGGGGCCCAGGCCTCGCGGGCCGCGAGCCGGACCCCGATTCCGACTGGGAGCCGGAGGAGCGGGCGCTCCAGGAGGTGGAGAGGTACCGGCTCCTCAGCGGGCCCTCAGCCTGAAGCTAGGCCTCCCGCCCCCAGCTCCGGGCGTCCTGCCGCCCGCTTCGCAGACGCGCTAGTTTCCTTCACCCGTTGTCGAGGGCGCAGGGCCAAGTGGTCAGCTCCCTTGGGACCCCAGGCCTCTCCGCTAGTGACGTGTTTCATCACCCGTTTAAAGAGTTGGGCATGCTTACTGTCAGGTGTTGTAGGTATTGGATTGCTGGGGCGGTATACAGAGAGTGCTTTAACCTGGCAGACACGGCCTTTGTGGGCTAACTAGAGGGCTGGGCTCTCCGTGATTTAGTCCTAGACTCTTTAAACATCCATCTTGCTTCCATGCATGGCTTCTGCCATTGATTCTTTCCCCCAGTACTCTGAAACGGCAGAAAAAAGCAATGCGATTCCAGAAACTTCGAAGGCAAATGGAGGCTCCAGGTGCTCCACCCAGAACACTGACATGGGAAGCAATAGAGCAGATCCGGTAAGACATTGTTTTCAAAATGGGGCTGGCTTATTTATTTTTATTTTTTAGAGACAGGGTTCTAATGTGTAGCCCTGGCTGTTCTGGAACTCACTCTATAGACCAGGCTGGCCACGAATTAAGATTCGCCTGCCTTCCGAGTGCTGGATTAAAGGACTGTGCCACCACCGCCCGGCTAGGATTTACTTTTTGAGGACTTTAATTTTGTCTCGTTTTAAAAGCAGAAAACTCCATAATAAGGAACTTGCTAGACCTGTGTAGTTTTTTTTTTTTTTTTTTTTTTTTTTGCGATAATTATGGACCTCATGGTTTGCCCAAGGTATTACCTCCGAACTATATCACCTGTTCGCGTTTAGTATGTTACCATTATGTAAAGTTGGTTGGTGGTTTTTGTTTTGTAAAACTATTAGTATTTATAGAGGCCCAGACACCTAACATCTGACTAGAACGTGATGATCTCCTGAGCATGTGAAATGGAATTTTCTGTGCTTACGTGCATTGTTTTGTTCTTTTTTTTTTTTTTTTTTTTTTTTTTTTTGAAAGAGAACTATAGCTTAGAAGTATTGGGAAGAACTTTTCTTCTTGACAGTCTCATACAGCCCAAGCTTGTAGCCAACAGTCTTAAACTCCTTATCCTCCTGAAAATGCTGTATGTGAGATTATAGGTATGTGCCAACTCCCTGGAAAATTTTTTTGGAGGGGGACAGGTCTACTATATAGACAGGGTGTCCAGGAATTCTTGGCAGTCCACTTGCCTCTGTCCCCAAGTACTGGGATTACATTGTGAGCTACACTGTGCACCACCACTGCCCAGCAATTTTTTATTTCTTAAATCACAAGCTGCATAAATTCTGTTCCAATCTTTTCTTTTTACACTCACTGTGTCCTTTGGGTTTTTCCATTTTAGTAGGTCCTGGGCTGGGGTAGAGCTCAGTACCAAGAATCACCACCTTCCCTTCCTGACCTGGAGAAAAAAAAAGTACTATTTAATTCTTTTGTAGGTGCAAGTGAGCCATAGTTTATCTTACCTGTCTTCTGTGATAGGTGTTTAAACTCTGTTCTTTCCCTTATAAAGAGTTCTCCAAGCTGGGGAGGAAATGAGGGGTGAGGTGGTGGCAGGCCTCTGAGTTCAAGGATAGTCAGGGTTATACAGAGAAAAACCTGTCTCTAAAAACCAAAAGGGTTCTCTAGTAAACAGCTTTGAATGTGTACTATGCAGCATATTTATTGGAAATAAGATATTTGCATTATGATAAATATTGGTAAGTAGCCCTATATTGACTATATACATTATTCCATTTCTGTGAGAATTCTGGTCAAGACTTTGTTGGTACTAACACCTGGAATACCAGGAAACTGTACTGTATTTCCCATCCCCAAGGTTCTGGGAATCCTATTCAGAGCCTCAAGCAAGCTAGTAAGCTGGTAAGTACTCTTGCCACTGAAGTATAGCCCTGGACACTTTATAGTCTTGTCTCTCTCTCTCTTTTTTTTTTTTTTTTTTTTCCTTCGGAGACAAGGTCTGACTATGTAGCCCTGGATGGCCTCAAACTCAGAGATTTTGTTTGCTTCTGCCTCTGGAGTGCTGGGATTAAAGATTATGTGCCACCATTACTGGTTTTTCTAGCACTTTGGGGAACAGCTTTCAGCCGACCTTCCAGCTTTCACCCGTCAGATCCTTGCCTGTAGTCCATAAATGTCCTTTAGCTTCAACAGAAACACAGGTCCTGAAGTAACATGTCAGCTTCTTGTTCTTTCTCTTTACCGCCCATTATCTTGCTTATGACGGTGGGCTGTCAGTTGAACTAGTTCCTGATGCAGAGTTACATGTTTCCCATGCTGTGTGCTGTACAAGCAGTATCTTTGTTTTCTCCTTTGTTTTTTTCCAGCTTACTTACTCTATATTCTTTTAGATCATCTCTGTCTTGGACTCCTCAGGCCTTCCTGGGTCAGACTGCAAGTGGCAAAACTGCCTGTCCCGGGTCTCCCTCTTGGAGCACTAATTTCATCCTTTGCTGTAATACTTAGTTATTTTGTGGCATATCGACCTCTGACCTATATAATCTTGGAAGTGAAGGTCAGTCCTCCATTATCAGGACCTAACATCTATCAGTAGACAGTAGTGGGTAGCTATTGGTTGTTGTGAACTGTCCTGATGAAGAGTGGCCAGGCATTGCTGTTTGTATACAGGTACAGAATTAATTGGCATAGTCTAAGGATTACATTTGGGTTTTTCCCAAGCTCTCTATACTTACATGTTACTAGCTTTATCACGTTAGCTCTTATCCTAGGAGACTTACTTGCAATGTGAAAAATGGCTGTTTTTTTCCTCATAGGTACTTACATAAGGAATTTGCAGAGTCCTGGTCAGTTCCCAGGTTGGCAGAAGGCTTTGATGTCAGCACCGATGTTATCAGAAGGGTTTTAAAAAGTAAGTTTATACCCACTTTGGAGCAGAAACTGAAGCAGGATCAGAAGGTCTTGAAAAAGGCTGGGTTATCTGGAGATACTGTGAAGCCACTCAGTGAAGGCCTTTCTATATCTGACCCGCTGCTGCTGCCAGGAGATGAAGTCTCGTCAAATAAGAGCACAGCCTTAAAAGTGCTAGGGTCAGACACTCACAGCACAGCTGCACAGAGAAGACAGGATGAAAGGACTAAAAGAATCCAAGGCTCAGAAGAAAGCTTTGTGCCTACCACTGCAGCTGTGGGTCATCAGAGAGAGATTCAGAAACACACGGCCAGTGATTCTAAAACCACCAGAAGAGCTGACAGGGATAGGTTGCCAAGTGTTGAGAAACTGGAAGAGTTGAAGGCTAGGGAGCCAGGTGACCAGAACTTCAGCAGCAAAGTAGTACAGCGGGGCCGTGAGTTCTTTGACAGCAATGGGAACTTCCTCTACAGAATTTGAGTTTGGGCCTGGTTTCTGTCGATGCTGTGACCCAGCTGGGCAAGTAGATTTGAAGTTGCCAACATTTCTGCATCTGATCGGCTGCTTTGGAAGAAATGAGGCTAGGATGTGGGTAGAGGAGCTACTTGGTTAGAGTCAGATTCTGGAGTAAGCCCCTGTGGATCTAAACCTCATTCATCCTTGTTCCTTGGTCTCTATTGAGAACAAGTATCACACGTGATATGTCATGAATTTCTGTGTTAACTGTTTGGAGGAAAAGGAAATTTTTCCTCTTGACCTTATTTCCTTCTTGATCACTGAACACTAACTGTTCTTGAATGGTTTAATCAATTGATTTCCTTACGTGCAAAATAAAATAAAATGTAGTAGTTTGTTGTTTGATGTTCTCTTGGGTAGGATTTTCTTGTAAACTTTGGAGAATGGTGGACTAAAAAAGGTGGGAAGGAAAAGTATCCTTTGTCATTAAATTATGGCATTTGGCACCAGAAGAATCCCAAGGCTTCTGTACATAGGCACTCTCCCCAGTGATAAATTGTTTTTCAAAGTTTTAAGGTTAGGTTTTGTACGCATGCCACAATGTAAATGTTGTAAAATGAGTTGTAGCAATTGTTTTTTTTCTCCACCTTGCCTGTCCTGGAAATGTAACTCAGGTTGGCAGCAAGTACCTGTACCTGCTGAGCCATGCCACCAGCTCCCATGGCAACCAAACCTTGGGCATCTTTGAATTACTAGGGTTCTGAAAATGATTTTGGAACTGGGAATGTACAGCAGTTCTGAAACAAAGTTGTTGAACTTTAGTGGTTAAAGTCTTGGGATCCCTAACATAGTCTCCCAAACTATATGCTAAAGTTAAACTGCATTTGATATCCCAATCCATGCCAGGTTTTTCCTAAAGATGCTGTATGTGTATAGGGATTCAGCCCCTATACAAATGACCCTAAGATGGCTGCCTATAAATGGCAGTTGTTGGGTTTAAACCCAAGTCTTTTTTAAAATTCTAGCAATACAGCGCTATATGGCATAATAAATGGTGGTTTTAGGAGTTATCACTAAAAACATTGTAGTAGAAAATGAGAACATCAGCAACAAAGTATCCAGCAACACTTTCCACCTGTCTCCCATTAACACCTTGTCAGCTAAAACTGGTACTCCCAAGTTATGTTGTCACAGACATCCCAGCTGGATACTGGTGGCGCACGCCTTTGATCCCAGATGGATCTCTGTGAGTTGGAGGCCAGCCTGGTCTACAGGCAAGTTCCACGACAGCCTCCAAAGCCACAGAGAAACTCCTTGGAAAAAGAAAATAATGGACATCCCAACTTGATATTAGTATTTATTGGAGTTAGCTATCTGAAATGTTGATAGCACTAGTAATATTAACTGTTGTGTTAGTTGTTTTTGAAATAGAGTCTTATTAGCCCAGACTGGCCTGAAACAGCAATCTTTTTTCCTCAGCTTTGGAAGTGTTAGGGCTACAGGGTTCAGATGTTATTTCCCTAGAGGCTTCCCTAGCCACCCAGTCTAAAGCAGATGATGAGTCATTCCAGAATGTAATTTAGGCTCTCTGGCAGCAGGAGAAACAGTTTCTGAGAACTGAACCCCAAACCTCTGTTGAGAAGCACATGTATTGGCTGTACACAAAAGCTGTGTTTGGGGTACAACACGTAAAAGCCCCTTTGATTTATCCTGTATGCTGAAGGAAATCACACCCTCAGCCTTTAGGCCTACTGTACTGTCTGCAGTTTCCAGTAATACAAGATCTCCAAGTGTGCCTGCAGTCTTGTGACCAAAGATATACAATGGATGGATAACTTTCAGAAAAACAACTATCAATCAGAAAACAATCAGTTCTCTACATGATTTTTTCAAGGTCTAAGTACCTTCAACACTTATACATGAAACTGTTACCCCAGATACAGTGGTAAACCACTGTGACATTTTATGTTTACCCTAGGTACAGTGGCTACACAGCTCTCTTCATGTTCTGTGACCCTACTCTTATGTTCTGCAGTTTACTTTCCCTCACTTTGAATGAAGACCCTATGAAGGCAAGAGACCTGTGCATTTATCACTATGTTCCCTACTGTATTGGTTAAGTGAACAGATTGACTTCCTAACAATTGTGGTGGTAAGCACCACCTTTTAGGTTTGCCATCTTACCCAGATCTCAGCCAAAGTATATAAACTTTCCAAATGACCTTTTCTTCTGTGTCCTATTGTCTCAGGAATGTGGTGTTGAATACAATTCCACCACTGGGCCATGGTTATAGGACTTCACAGATCCTGTTTTGGGGTCACCTTTCAGGACACAGTGAATATCACACTGAATGAGGTAGAGCTTCACTTAGCACATTTGCTATAGGTGTTGGAAGAAGAAACTGGAATTGAGGACGAATGGTACCTCAGCTTGGGTTGGTATACCGCAGTAGAATGGGCATGGCTGCACCCCGGAGGAACAGGAATGGTGTCTTAGTGCAGCAGACATCAACCCAGAGAGGATGGTGTAAGGTCAGGCAGAGGCCAACATAAATGAATTGAAGCACTATATGAGTTCAGGCCTTTAAAAAAAAAAAAAAACTTTTTTAAAACTTGGTTTAAATTTATATTTTAATGGTGCTGGAGATTGAACCACCCAGTCTGTTTTATAAGTGGCTTTTTCAGTTGGTTTGTTTCCCAGTCAGGATTCATGTCAAGTAACACTACATTTTGTTGGTATGTTCCTTAAGTCTTTTAACTCTTCCTCGGGAATAAGGTAACAAATTCAAGAGACTAGGGAAAAAGAAGTTGTTGTTAATATATCATTCTGCAGAAAGGGATGCCAGCATAGAAGATAATCAAAAAACAGCTGGAATGCTGATTTGGCACAAGATGGTAGTTTTTAAATTAACCTTGAGAAATTCTTGCTCTCTGTTCCCTATAGGCTGGAATTCACAGTCTAGCATAATCCCCTTCTCCTGTAGGTTTAGGAGGCAAAACCTAATCTGCTTGCTGCTCCTATTTTTTTGTAGCTGACCATAACATGTATTTATTTATTTAGAGATAGGGTCTCTGTACTAGAACTATGTAAACCAGGCTGGTCTTGAAATCACAGACGTCTTTGCCTCTGCCTCCCAGGACTGGGATTAGAAGCATGGGCCACCATGTGTGGACTTCATAATGTATTTCTTAAACCTTAAATCTTTTATTCTAGAATAGTTCCACCTCTCACATATTTTCCCCCTTGCCATTTATTTTTAGAAGCTAGGCCATTTGTCCTAGATGAGGTCCTGCTTTGAGGGAGTCAAGTTTGGGGAGGGGGAGGAGTCCAGAGGTTGGGGTGGAGTCTTTGATAGCTCTCATCTTTGGAGGTAGGGTCTTCTGCTGGACCCAAAACTAGGCATAAGGTTAGTCTAGCTAGACAGCCTGCTTGAGGGAACCCCAGCCTCTGACTCTGGAACTGACATTACTAAGGGGATGCCATGCCCACTTAGCATATTTGTGAGTGCAGGGGATCCAAACTCTTAGTCTTCACCCTTTACTCATTGGTCTGTCCCCCAGCTTCCTCAACCTTCCCTCCTTTCTGGAGACAGAGCCTGGTGCCCAGAATAGCCTTGAATTGATCCTCCTGTCTCCATCCAAGGCCTGGGATTACATACACCCACCAAGATACCATACTGCCTTTTTTGTTTTGTTTTTAAAAAATAAAGTCTTATACATTACTCTTTCCCCCACAGTTTATTCATTTATGTATTTCCTCAGTAATTCCTGTCTGCAACAGCATGGCCTACATGTCCAGATCTTGTCTCAAAAACAAAAACTCTCTGTAAATAGCACCATACAGATGTACTTATGGGTTTTGCCTCTTCATTTGTAGTATGACTGTGCCACAAGTTTATTCATTTTCCCATAACGGCCACCAGCAAATTAAAACTCCAATATTTCAAGACAGGGTTTTTCTTTGTAGCTTTGGAGCCTGTCCTTGAACTCTATATGTAATCCCAGACTGGCCTTGAACTCACAGAGATCCTCCTGCCTCTGCATCACCAGTGCTGGGATTAAAGGTGTGAGCAAGTCTCAGCTTTCATAGCCCAACATATTCATTCCTCTTCACATCTACCTTATACTACCTGGAAACCAAGGACTGCATATTTGGAGGCTAGTTTGACATTTGAGACTTCAGTAACCAGTGCCTGCAGACTAGGTGTCACCAGCTTTACTTAACTTAAAATGCAGAAAGGGCCCAATCTTTACTTGAACAGAACGAGAGCCTGTTGTGTTCTTAAAGTGTATCCCTCTCTGGATCTGCAGTTTGAGTAATAAGCAATTAACAAGGCATAATCTCTTTATCCAAGGAAAAAATTTTTTTGGTTCTATTTTCACCTTTATTTGGAATACAAAGCAACATTACTTTTGATAAACATTTTGATAAAAAAAAAGCGTTGAAAATAAGTATGGCCTGAATTTGCAGAGTAAGTGGTTTTCCACTTTGGGGGGTAGGAGAAAAAACAGGTGCAAGACCATCTCCAAAGGAGAACACATACTCAGTGAGTCACCGAAGGGTCTGGCTTCCACTCACTAAGGGCAAGCAGTGCAGTCCAGGCTAACCATCCATGATCTTCATCACAGTAGGTATAAGAGAGAAAGCAACTCCAGACTGACTTATTAATCAGTCTGGATAACTATGAAATGTCCCCCATTCCTGAGATGCTAAAGTGTTCAGAGAGACTTGTTGGAGCAGGGAACCTTTCATGTGCTCCCAGTTGTTATACAGTGCCTAGAGACTGGTGTCAGTCCTGCCAGCCTCCACGTGCTATTCCTGGAAGACCACCTGTAGCCCTCTGCACTCTGAGGGTGGCTGGGGAAGCGGCAACAAAACCACCGGTGGGTTAGCTGGCTTCTTTGGAGCGGGAAGAGAGGGTTACTCACACGCTGATTTGGCCAGCCTTCTGCTGACCGGTATGAACCCCCTGTCTCCGTATTTAAATGTGGATTCACGCTATCTTGTTCAGGATACTGGTGCGTTCATTTTGCCAACTGGAGCTAACAAGACCCGAGGCGATTTGAGTTAGTTTTCTTTACCATTGGAGGATGTTGCATGACAGGGGCTGCATTTGGGGCAATGAATGGTCTTCCGTTAGGATTGAAGGAAACCCAGAGCATGGCCTGGTCCAAACCAAGAAATGCACAAATTTTGAATATGGTGACTCAGCAAGGGGCACTTTGGGCTAATAGTCTAGGTTCCCTGCTTTGCTCTATAGTGCATTTGGTTTTATCATTGAGAAAACACGGGGTGCAGACGATGATCTCAACACAGTAGCAGCTGGAACCATGACGGGAATGTTGTATAAATATTTAAGGAAAATTAATGTCTAGTTACGAATGAGGCTGGAGAGCTCCTAA